GAATTCTCAATAGAGGAATATCAAATGGCAGAGAAACACTTAAAGAAATGCTCAATGTCCTTAGCCATCAGGGAAATGCAAATCAAAACAACCCTGAGATTTCACTTTACACCCTTCAGAATGGCCAAGATAAAAAACTCAAGAGACAACACATGCTGGAGAGGTTGTGGAGAAAGGGGAATCCTCCTTCACTGCTGGTAGGAATGTAAACTTGTACAACCACTCTGGAAATCAATCTGGCACTTTCTTAGACAACTAGGAATAGCGCTTCCTCAAGAGCCAGCTATACCACTCCTAGGCATATACCCAAAAGAGTCTCAAGTACACAATAAGGACATTTGCTTAACCATGTTTGTAGCAGCTTTATTTTTAATAGCCAGAGGCTGGAAACAGCCTAGATGCCCCTCAGTGGAGGAATGGATGCACGAATTGTGATCTATCTACACAATGTTATATTACTCAACATAAAAAACATGGAAATCATGAAATTTGCAGGTAAATGGTGGGATCTAGAAAAGATCATCCTGAGTGAACTATCCCAGAAGCAGAAAGATGCACATGGTATATACTCACTCATATAGACATATAATATAGGATAAACCTACTAAAATCTATACACCTAAAGAAACTAATCAAGAGGGAGGACTCTTGCTAAAATGCTCATTTCCTATTCAGAAAGGCAAAGAGGATAGGCATCAGAAGAAGGAGAAAAGAGGGAACAAGTCAGGAGCCTGACACAGAGGGCCTGTGAAAGGCTCTGCCCTGCAGACTATCAATGCAGATGCTGAGACTTATAGGCAACCTTTGGGCAGAGGTGCAGGGAATCTTATGAAAAAAGTATACAGTCTTTATTATGTTTAGGTATGGGCCTTGTATCCCAGATCTCTCCAATACTTTTAACATGAAGGGGTGTTGGATTTTGTTAAAGGCTTTTTCAGCATCTAATGAGATACCTGTATGAGTTTCTTTCAGTTAGTTTATATGATAGATTACATTGATGGATTTTAGAATATTGAACCATTCCTGCATCCCTCAGATGAAGCTTGCATAATGATGATGGATGATATCTTTGATGTGTTCTTGGATTCGGTTTGTGAGTATTTTATTCATATTTTTGCATCAATGTTCATAAGGGAGATTGGTCTGAAATTCTTTGTTTAGTCTTTGTGTAATTTAGGTATCAGGGTGATTATGGTCCCATAGAATGATTTAGGCAATGTTCTTTCTGTTTTGTGGAATAGCTTGAGGAGTATTGGTATTAGCTCGTTGGAAGTATGGTAGAATTCTGCACTAAAACCATCTGGCCCTAAGCTTTGTTGGTTCGGAGACTTTTAATGACTGCTTTTATTTCCTTAGGTGCAATAGGATTAAATAGTTTATCTGATCTTGATTTAACTTAGTAAGTGGTATCTATGTAGATATTTGTCCATTTCATTTAGATTTTCCAGTTTTGTGAAGTACATGTTTTTGAAATAAGACCTAATGATTTTTTTGGATTTCCTCAGTGTCTGTTGTTATGTCCCTTTTTTCATTTTTGGTTTTGGTAATTTGGATACTGTCTCCCTGCCTTTTAGTTAGTTTGGCTAAGGGTTTGTCTAGCTTGTTGATTTTCTCAAAGAACCAGCACAACTGGTTTTGATGATTCTTTGTATTGCTCTCTTTGTTTTTAGTTTATTGATTTCATTCTTGAGTTTGATTATTTCCTGCTGCTTACTCCTCTTGGGTATTTTTGCTTCTTTTTGTTCTAGAGCTTTCAAGTGTGCTTTTAAATTTCTTGTGTGATATCTCTCCAATTTCTTTATGAAGGCACTTAGTACTATGAACTTTCCTCTTAACACTGCTTCCATTGTGTTCCATTGGTTTGGGTATGATATGCCCTCATTTTTATTGAATTCTAAGACTCTTTAATATGTTTTTTTTTTATTTCTTCCCTTACCCAGTGACGAATGAGCAGAGAGTTGTTCAGTTTCTATGAATGTATAAGCTTTCTGTTGTTTCTGTTGTTGAAGTCCAGCTTTAATCTATGGTCATCTGATAAGATGCAAGGAGTTATTTCAATTTTCTTGTATCTTTTAGGTTTGCTTTGTGGATGACTATATGGTCAACTTTATAGAAAGTTCTGTGAGGTGCTGAGAAGAAATATTCTTTTGTGTTTGGGTGAAATGTTCTGTAGATATCCATTAAGTCAATTTAATTCATAACACTGTTTAGTTTCATTATTTCTCTGTTTAGTTAGTTTCTGTCTTGATGATTGGAGAGTGGGGTGTTGAAATCTCCCTTTATTATGTGGGGTTAAATGTATGACTTAAGCTTTTGTAATGTTTCTTTATGAATGTTTATGAATGTGTTTAGGGCATAGGTGTTCAGTATTGAGATGTCATCTTAGTGGATTTTTTTTTCTTTGATGAGTATGAAATGTTCTTCCCTGTCTCTTTTGATTAACTTTGGTTGAAATTGTATTTTATTAGATATTAGGATGGCTATTCCAGTTTGTTTTTTGGGTCTGTTTGCTTGGAAAACCTTTTTCCAGCTATTTTCTCTGAGGTAATGTCTATCTTTGTTGCTGAGGTGTGTTTCTTATCAGCAGAATAATGGATCCTGTTTTCTCATCCATTCTGTTAATCTGTCTTTTTATTGGGGAATTGAATCCATTGATATTGAGAGATATTAATTACCAATGACTGTTAATTCCTATTTCTTGGGTATAGTTAATCTGCTTGGATTGGATTTTTCCTTCTAGTATTTTCTATAGTGCTGGCTTTGTGGATAGATATTGTTTAAATTTTGTTTTATCTTGGAATAGCTTGTTTTCTCCATTTTTGGTGATTGAGAGTTTTGCTAGGTTGGGATCTGTGGCCTCTTAGGGGTTGCCAGACATCTGTCCAGATCATTCTAGCTTTTAGAACCTCTTTTGAGAAGTCAGGTATAACTTTGAGAGGTCTACCTTTATATGTTACTCAGCCTTTTTCCTTTGCAGTTTTTGATATTCTTTCTTTGTTCTGTAGATTTGGTGTTTTGATTATTATGTGGCAGGAGATTTTCTTTTCTGGTCCAATCTAAGTATTGTTTTGGAAGTTTCCTGTATGTTTACAGGCATTTCTTTCTTCAAGTTGGGGGAAATTTCTTCTAGATTTTGTTGAGAATATTTTTTTTGTCCTTGAAGCTGAAACTCTGCACCTTCTTCTATTTCTATTATTCTTATGTTAGATTTTTTCATAGTGTCCCAGATTTATTGGGTGTTTTATGTCAGGAAATTTTTAGATTTATCATTTTCTTTGACTGGTGGTAATTTCTTTTATGGTATTTTTTACTCCTAAGATTCTCTTTTCCATCTATTATAATCTGTTGGAGATGTTTCTATCTTTTGTTCCTGTTCTCTTCTCTAGGTTTCCAGCTGCAGGATTCCCTCAGTTTGTGTTTTATTTATTGCTTCTACTTCCATTTTCAAGTCTAGAATAGTTTTATTCATCTCCTTCACCTGTTTAATTGTATTTTCCTGTATTTCTTTAAGGAATTTATTAATTTCTTCTTTAAAGGTCCCTCTCAGCTTTGTTAGATTGCATTTAAGTTCATTTTCTTGTGCTTCAGTTTTGTTAGGATAACCAGGGCTTGTTGCAGTAGGATAGCTGTGCTCTGAAGGTGCCATATTGCCCTGGCTCTTGTTGATGGTGTTCTTATGCTGTCCTTTAATCATCTGGTTGTCCCTGGATGTTCCTGGTGAAGCAGATATCAGAAAGGTGGGTCTAACTTGGATGATTCTGGTGTGGTGGGCGTCCAGTGGGCAGCCTTGTGCTAGATGTTCCTGATGCAGCAAGGCCTGGATGGTCCTGGAGTATCTGGCTTGGTAAAAATGGGCATAGTGCCCAACAATGGAAGTCAGGAGATAGTGTGCACCTCAGGGCAGCTGAATGTGTCCCAGGGCACTGTGAAGCCCTGAAAGTTTAAAGTCTTAAATTCCCAGGGCAATGTAACTAGGGTCCTGGGAGCAGGGTCATAGGCAAAGAATCAGACAAGATAAAGCAGACCCACTCAGTGGCAGAGAGACCACCAGACCACATTCTTTCCATATTTAGGAAACACCGTTGCTTAGTAACCAGACCAGATGGTCAGCAGTCCTCCACCCAGATAAACCTCAGGGTGTGACTGGAGTCATGTTGCCTTGCCCCTAAGAAAACCCACAGGATGGCTACAGCCTAATCTGCATGTAACAGGATACTCCAGGTATTTCTCAAGATCAGATGTCCCCCAAGTAGCCAGGCCTAACTGTTGCAGTTCTGGTGCCTAAAACAGACCAATCATTTCAAAGGTCAGTTTCCCTAGAGACCCTCTTACCCAATCCTCTAACGCCAAGGCTATTACTTCCCTGCTTGCAGTTTTTCCCTTTAAAAACCCTGCTCTCCCGGAAGAAGGGGTCACTTGCTTCTTTGTTCCCAAAGGTGGCTTATGGCCCAGGCTTGAGCTCAAAATAAAACCCTTGTGTTTTACAATGGAGTCAATTACTGATGGTCTTTCAGGGGTCTCACTAACTGAATATTATAGGCACCTGGCAGGGCAGGGAGTTTCAAGGGGAGAGAGGAACTCCTTTACCTAAGGGTCTTCTCCCATCTGCTGAGAGACTGGCTTGGACTTATTCATGAAATCATGAGGTAATAGCATTTCAGTGTCTCTATTTATCAGATATATGTAGTTCACTTCTGCCACATTCTCTTGGTCAAGCAAGTCTCCAAAACAGCAGAAAATTGAGGATAAAAAAGAGACTTCACTTCTTGATGGTATTTATTGTAAAGAAGTTGTTGCTATTTTCAATCAACCTCAGAGTGTTTAATAAAATCTTTGTTTTTGTACTTCTAGCTTTGTGAATTTGCCAATAGACTCTTGGTTTATACTTTTACAATACTTACTTTTCTACCATTTTTTTCTGATGAATATATGTGCATAATAAAATTTACTTGGTTAAAACTGCATACGACATTTAGAAGAAAAGTCTTAATATAAAAGAATGAGTTAGGTGTTATGTATTTATAACTTTTAGATAGTGAGAGAATTTTAAATACATCATTTGTGAGTCAGGGAATATAAGAAAGCAAAGAGATGGCTTCAAGATCATTTGTGCTGTTGGTACACAGGGGTCAGATTCTCCTAAGGTGAATATAACATTCCATCTTGGGTTCCCTTACTAGGGTGGAAAGTATACAAAGCTGCTTCTAGCTCATGTTGATTCTCACAGCATTTCTTTATTGGCATTGTACTAACTCTTTTTTGTTTGGTTTTTAGTCCCAGACTTGTATTTTTCTCTTTCATTTATCTCTGGTGTTGAGGTTTAGCTGACCTTGGATAGGTATTAGCTCCTTTTCTCATTTCTGTTGTGAAATTGAGCGAACCGATCCTGACACCCCCAAAGGTCACCAGGAACTAGCCTTAAACAAGATCATCCAAAAGTAACCAGGAACTAATGACCCCACCCCAAGGTCACCAGGAACTAGGCCATAGGTTACCAATTCCAGCAACAAGGTCATAAGATTCTCTACCCAAGGAACAGTCTGAGGATAACCACAGGAATGGGAAGTTATCTTATCTCAGGGTGAGACATTTGTGCTAAGCAGCCCACGCTGTAGTAGAACATTTAATGGCACAGAAAATACCTAACATTCCCAAGGCCTATAGATAGCTCGCTCAATGTTATGTTAGTTAGGCAATCACTTTGTAACCAAGTGATTGGTTGGTTATGCCCTTGGTCACCCAATCATGTAACTGTTAAACCCCAATAAAAACCCTACTGTGCAGCTTCTTGGGGCTCTCCTCTCTAATCCGCTGCATTGGTGACTGTGGAGAGACTGAACTTAAGCTCGAATAAAGCTCTTTGCTCTTGCTCCTGGTGGTCTTTGGGGACCTTAAGACCTGAGTATAACAAAATACTTATTCTTTTTATCCTCAGTGTTGCTAGTGGTCCTGGTGTTTGACAAACATTTGGCCAGAGCAAATTAGTGAAAGCCGTTGTCCTTTGCTGAGTCACATTTCCCTGTGACAGTCTGCTTCTAGTTGAACATGAGAATTTAAATGCAGAATTGCCCTATCGTGGCTGGCTCAGTATGGCATCTGATGGGTGTAGCAAAGAAAAAATAGGACTCAGGAGGAGTGAGTTGCACATCAGTGAAGAGGTCCACCAGGCAAACTTATCAGGTGATTCAGCTTCAGTATTCTGCGTGGAAAGGGAAGTCCTCACTATGGCTTGCCCTGCAGCAACAAGCAGAAAGAAGAAATGGTTCCACAGAAGCAACAAGCATGATCTAAGAGGCATTCTTAGGTGCTACATTCAGCCATATTTGTGCTCTCTCAGCCTCTTCTCCCATAAGAGCTTGGGGAAATGAGATGGGGTGCACAGACCATGGTCCTCTCCCTAAAGTATGAGAGAAGTATTTGAAAAAGGAGGACCTGTAAATTAGCAGGGACCTGGTCACCAGTTAATCATCATAAGGAGGAATCATGAGCAAACTGACACACAGCTGAGGGCCTCAGAACTGTCTCAATTTATTCTCAGATAGTTGTGAAGTGGGAAATACTATTGAAATTGGTAAATTGAGCCTGGAGTGGTGGTATATGCCATAATCCCAGCACTCAGGGAGGCAGAGGAAGGTGGATCTCTGTGAGTTCAAGGCTAGCTTGGTCTACAAAATGAGTCCAGGACAGCCAAAACTACATAGAGAAACCCAGTCTCAAAAAAAAAGAAAAGAAAAGAAAAGAAAAGAAATTGATAAATTGGTTATGAGTAGTAAATAAGATACCAATATAAGCAAAGAGCTTAACATGTTTGCTTTATCCTAAACTAATACTCAGTGAATGTTTGCTGTAATTAATATCATCATAAAGCAACTTGGTGACATCACCCAAACTGCCCAAGGCCTCCTTGCTAATGAATAAGTTGTAGAGTTTCAAGTACAAGGCAGTTTAGTTTACTTTCAAGTCCATTAATCTATGACCTCCACTCACATACCCAGTCTTTCTTGATGCCAAAGAAACATCAGAAATACATCTCAAGCAGATTCTTGATTTCTCTACGAAAATTCTGTTCTTGAGTTTCTCAAACAATAACAAAAATAAGCAAACAAAACCATATGTGTTAATTTTTTTTTTTTTTTTTTGGCAAACTCAAATAGCTTTTTTCCATTTATCCCAAATCTGATTTTCCTCATCTCCACCACTATGATCCAAGTCCAGTGACTGTCCTCCTCTCTGGATTATTATAGTATCACCCTGTCATTCTCAATGCAGAAGTCAATATGACATTTTAAATCATGTCATCTCTTGCCAGCTTCTGCTCAAAATCCTCTCCTGGATTCTCAGTTTCTCCTGATATAAAATCAGGGTCTTCTTGGTCTGTACACTGTGTGTTTGTAGCCTAAAGTTGTCTCTGACTTGTCCTTCCCTCTAGCAGCAGCCCTCACTCATTCTGCTCCAGCATCACTGACTTTCTGACTCAAGTGCTCTAAGCCTTTTACATTAGGGCATTCCCACCTGCTTTCCCTGCTGACAGTGCAGTTCTCCTAAATAGCCCTGTGGCTCATCCTTCACTTCCTTTAGCTGTATCTTTGTCACTGAAGCTTCCCCTGGATAGTCATGTGTCAATGCATCTGTTACCCAGGGCTCATTACTTCCTGTGCTTTTTGCCCTATTTCATTTTTCTCTATAGCATTTGTTACTCTCTGACATATGTATTTGGAGTTACCTCACTTTTTCCCCTCTGTAGAATATAAGACCGGGAACAGGAAGTTTATGTGTGATGTCCTGAATATTTAGATCATTCCTAGCACATAGCATGTGATAGTGAGTTACTGAGGGAATGAGAGCTTGAGAACTGACTCCCACATAGTAATAAGAACTCCTTCCTCAAAAACCCTAGCTCTGTGTGCAATATTCAGAAACTGAGCATCAAATAGCAATGTCTCTATTAGTGATTCCCCAAGACTCAAACTTTAATTTTTCACAACTGCCAGAAAATACTATTTGAAGACAAAAGTCATTCTACATACCTTCCATTCCTTCCTACTAACCCTTTAAAGCCTTAGAAAAAAGACTTGATCAATCTCTCAATGTCACTTACGCAAACAGGTTACAGGCCCTCCAGTTTCTGTTGAAACTAAGGATGGTGGCCATCTCCTCATCACTCAACTGGAAGTCAAAGACCTAGAAAAGCCAGAGTTCCGAAAACATCCTTAGTAAGCAAAGTGTTGGTAGGAATCTGAGGTTCTAGGTGTTTCTCCCATTATGTACACAATACATCCAAATTATTCTGTAAATTACCACTGGGTTGTCTAGAGGGATAAGTGTTGCACAAGGAGGGTTTGTAGGTATGCAAGTATGTGCAATGACTGAAATCCCTGAGGGGCCTGTCAGAGGCATGGTCTTCAATCCATTCCATGACAAAGGCAATCTGCAGGTGACCTGGAAAGTCTGTGGATAGTGTCTGAGTACTCAAGGGTAAGCAGACATCTTTATCTGGGATAAAGCACATTTGTGCTCAGACCTGACGTGCCTTTGCTAGTGTCCGCCTCCAGCCCATCCTTGACCCAGAAGTGATCAGTGCAGCTCTGCTGAGGCCAGCCATTGAGCCTAAGGAAGGATAGGATAGTTGGAAGAAGAGAAGACACACTGGCAATGAAGGGATGGAACTGAAGCTTAAGAATAGGATTGTCCCTAGCCACACTCCCCTAAGAACTATCAGATGAAAGGTCTTACCTGAATGTTCTCCTCTATGCGGGAGGGTGTCACAGACTTAGGGATCACCACCACATTCCTCTGGATGTGGAACCGAATCAGAACCTGTGCACAAAGAGGGAAAAGCAGGCACTCACCTACAGTGAAGTGAATAATGAAATATATCAACATTTTTCTGTGGCTTTAACTGTTACTAGAGACACTTGCCAGTCCTCATCCTATGACCCCTCACCCAGGAACAATGCTGAAATTTCCCCAGATAGGAAGGAGGAGGGTAGCCTGTGGTCATAAGGCTGAGACTTTCTGGTTTGCCATGTTTTTAAGGTTGAGCCCTGGAGCTTGCCAGGCAGCTGATGGACAGGGGCAACCCTTCTCTGATGCCAGATGTATTTCTTGGAGATCCCAACAGACTTACATCCCTCAATTCTTCCTCTCCAGCAGATTAAAAGAAGGCAATGCGAATAAAACACATGACTGCAGTAAGAGGTTGCTAGATAAAAAGGGAAAGGGGGAAACACAAGTCATATTACCTGTGCTGCCGTTTTCTTATGCTTTGCAGCAATTTCTTTAATCTTGGGAATCTCCAGTATTACAGGGTCCCCTGGCTTAGCTCTAGAGGAAGAGTGAAAATCACCATGGCTACATGCTCATAAACATCACTGCCAGGAGAGTGTCAAAGCTAAACATTACAGCCACCTCTATCTGTGAGATGGGCAAAAAGATGGAAGGTTCTGTGTCTCTCCCATGAACCCATCTATGGAACCAGGAGCTTCAGCAGTACTGCAGGATGGAGATGGCACATTCTCTGAGCATGAACCATGACCATTGTTTGTTTTTTTTCAAACATTATTATAGCTGCATTACCTTCTGGGTGGCCCAACATGTTGCCCAAGATAGACACACTTTTCCTTGTGCCCTGGAAATTACTTGCTAATATTAACAAATTATGAAATGATAATTTTAAGAGTGATGAAAGAAAGAGCCAGCGCTCTGAAGCCTTACTGAGGTCTGTCTGGGGAGCCCAGAGGGCTATAGGCTGTGACGGTGATGCCCTTGGAGTGACAGTATTGGATCAATTTTTCCTGAGTCAGGTAGGGGTGGCATTCGACCTGCCAGAGAGAACACCTCCATTATTAGGGAAGTAGGCCTCTTCCATACAAACAAAGACAAACAAAGACCAAATACAATCCACTGACAGATGAACTACAAACCAGACCCAGAGATCTGCCTCCCACCTCGCTGAGCATCCTGAACACTGATCCCTGAAAGAAGACTCGGCCCATCGGCCTCCCAAGGTTGAAGCAGGCACAGAGGAGGACCCTGCACCAAACAGAATGTACCTGGTTGGTCACTGGCTTATGTTTCAGTCCAGGCTTGTTCAGGAGCCTTTCAATCTGGAAGTGGTTGAAGTTGGAGATGCCCAGGGCTTTCACCAGCCCCTGGTCCACCAGTTCCTCCATGCCCTGTCACAGCGAGGAATATTGTCTAGAGCCGTGGTTCTCAACCCTCCTAATGCTGCGACCCTTTAGTAAAGTTCTTCGTGTTTTGCTGACCCCCAAGCATAAAATTATTCTTGTTGCTACTTCATAACTGTAATTTTGCTACTGTTATGAATCATAATGTAAATATCTGGTATGCAGGATAGCTGATACGTGACCTGTGAAAGGGTTGTTTGGGCCCCAAAGGCGTCTTGACTCACTGGTTGAGAACTGCTCATTTAGATGGCTGTAGGAGGATACGGGATGCTGGCGTGCTTCGTCCTTGGATGGAAGGAACGGCTTCTGAATGACAAGGTTGAGAGAAGCACTAAAGGAGATTTTTGGTCTAGATGGTGGTGTCCTTAGGGCTGCTTTCAGCCCTTCTGGCCCCCTCACCCCCAGCTCAGACATAACGGGAAGGTTTCTATTCTCAACTCACTAAACCTGGTTATCCAGGAAATAGGTCCTGTGGCAAGAATCTCTTCTCTTGGCTGTCTTTTTGGTTTTTATTTTATATTATTGCAGCTTGAACCTGAAGTTCCTCGTGAGCTGGACAAGCACTTCATGGCTCGACGACATCCTTATTCCCCCAGACTTTCTTCAGTTCAGTTTTGAGATAGGGTCTCTCTAGGTCAAACAGATAGCCTTTGACCTCATGCTGCAGCCCAGGTAGGGTTTGAGGTATGAACCTCCCACCCCAGTCCCCAACAAAACTGTGATTATGCGCCTACCCTGGCTCATCTGCTTGCCTGAGGTATAATTCCTGTCTTCCCTGCCAAACTTGGTATGGTACGCTTTGAGGTAGGCCTTGAAGATATCTGGATCCTAATGGGAGCACCTCCCCTGAGGCTGCAGTTGGGCTGAAATCCATCCGATTGACTACTTGCTTAGCCAAAATGGAATCAAACCAAAAAGTTGGCATTTATTTATTTTTATTATCTACAGCGATTTTGTTCTAAACTTGTCCAAAGATAATTGTCCAACCCTATAGTGCAGCCACAAAATAGATATGAATTTATAATTCGTTTAATGCAAGTTCCTTTCCAGGAGTTGCTAGAATATAAATATATAAAATTTAAGTGCCAAGTTTTCTGTCAATGAGCTGTCAGCTTTGGTGCTAGGCTACCTCAGCTTATTAGACAGTTTGAATAGCATAGGAATAAGAGAGGAAAGGAAGGAATTTCTAATCCCAGGAGAGACATTAGAGGCCCTGGAAAAGTAACATGGAGGAAGGTGGTAAAATCATGAGCAGATTGGAAGGAAGGAGAAGAGAAGGCTGAGAGGCAGGGACAAGCAGGGTGTGTTGAGCTGGCACTTTGTCCACTGTTTCTAAAGCTTGGCTGCATCTTGCACCCTCCGGAGGCTCTAAAAGAAATGAGTTTTCAGGCTCCACTCCCAGGGCAGCTTACTGATTTTCTTTGAGATGCAGAGTTTTTAGGATGTTCAAAATGGCCCCTGGAGACTTCAGTGTACCAGGTTGAGATGCACCAGGTGAGTGAGGAAGACCTTTTCTAGGCGAGACAGTTTAGCACTGATGAGACCTAAGTGTCCCAGCAACTTCCCATTGAAATAAGAGCAATGTTATTCTGTGACCTGGGTCAGGTTTGAGTAAGGTTTATGGCTCATATTGACCTCTTTATGCTATTTTAGATTTCCTTTCTCTGTTATTAATTGTGGTCAGTGAGGTTTCTACTGGATTAGCTGTAGGTCCTACCCAGCTACCTACCTGTGGTGGTTTGAATAAGAATGGCCCCCATCTGAGTTGATATCTATGGGAGGCCTCCCTTTTTCTGAGCCTCTTCTGAGGAAAAAGGGAGGACTAGAGGATGGTAGGTGAGGTGAGAGGGAGGGCTAGGAGGAGGGGAGAGAGGGGAAACTGTGATAAGGATGGAAAATAAATAAATTAATAAAAAAGAATAGCCTCCATATATTTAAATGTTTAGTCATCGAGGAATGCCAGTACTTAAGAATTAGGAGGTGTGTCCTTGTTGAAGTAGATGTGACCTTGTCAGAGGAAGTGTATCACTGGGAATGGACTTTAAGGTTTCAAAAGCCCATGTCAAACCCAGAGTCTCTCTCTCAACCAGTTGATCAGGACGTAGCTCTCCGCTACTTTCCAGCACCATTTCTGCCTGTGTGCCACCATGCTTCCCACAATGATGATAATGGACTAAACCTCTAAAATTGTAAGCAAGCCATCAATTATTTATAATAGTTGTTTCAGTCATGGTGTCTCTTTACAGCAATATGACACTGACCAAGTCTCTCTCTCTCTCTCTCTCCCCCTACCTCTATCTATCTATCTATCTATCTATCTATCTATCTATCTATCTATCTATCTATCTATCTATCTATCTATCTAT